ACAGGTGCAAATATAACTGGAATTATTTTATAAACTATTCATGTCTATTGCACTTCATGATAATTTCCTCCAAAATCTGGAACTGATTTTTTCTTTAAATATTAAATGAAAATGATAACTGAGCTGGAATCACAAAATAAAAAAGTTTATCTCCCCAACAATGTCAATTTTGTCATAAAAATGCATCCTTTTGTATCCCTACTAGCTGAAATTCTCCAATACTCCTGTTTGGGAAAGCTGGATATTTTAATTTTAAATGGAAAATACATTGTGAATATAAAAAAGCATTATTTGGAGGTATCCCCAGGAGATTTTTACAAGATTAATAAACTAAAATGCTAAATAATTTCCATTTACTCACTCACTAAATAAACATTTGTTCATCCCAGTTGGTCAGACTCTGAAGTGGGGAGGGAAGGTGAAGACAAGCACATATATGCAAATAGCAAAGAAGATGAAGTGTAGGTCATGATCAGTACTAAGAAGAAAATAAACTCAGAGCTGAGACAAAGACTGCAACAAACTGCAGAAACAAACTGTAATCCAGATTAGCCACAAACACACTTAATAGATTGACATCAATGCCTTTCCAGAGTGCCTTTAAGACCTCTTGACATTTACTTAGGTTCCTAGGATCAAAGCTCATCAAGCTTACCTTAGTTTCACTTGACAGGACTAAAGCTAGTCAGTGAAATCGCTAACAGAATATAAAGGACATCATCCATTGAGCAGAACCTTTCTGATTAGACTTTTGATTTTATATTACGTGATTGCACATATTATCCAAACTATACATTTTCAAGAGAGAAAAGGGATGTTTCAAATAATTATGCTAGAACAAGCATTAATGATGATTCCCACTAGGGTAAACCAGGACATATAGTCAAACTAATTCTATACCACATCAAAAGCTAACTAGTTAAAAATTTCTAGAGCACTATATAGTTTGAGGTATATTTAAATTATAAGTACTCTTCAAATAAAAGACCCAAATTATAGCTGGGTGCAGTAGAAAACAAACGCCTGTAATCCCAGCAACTCAGGAGGATGAAGAGTTCAAAGCCAGCTTCAGCAAAAGTGAGGTGCTAAGCAACTCAAGTGAGATCTTGTCTCTAAATAAAATACAAAATAGGGCTGGGGATGTGGCTCAGTGGTCGAGTGCCCTTGAGTTCAAATCCCAGAACCCCTGTACCCCAAACACAAAAAACCTAAATCATAATATGGACCCATATAAGCCAAATGACTTATCTAACTGCCTCACACCATACACAAAATCTGTTTTAGGTGCATTATATACCGAAAGGTAAAAAAAAGCAAAATCAAAGTATTTTCCATGACACCAGAGAAATACTATACCACACCAAAAAGGGCGAAAAAGCAAAGGAAAGAAAAGGGGAAAAAAGGAAAGCAAAGCAAAGCAAAGCAAAGGAAAGAGGGGAAGGGAGCAAACAAAGAAGGAAAAAGACCAGTCCACTAACCATCAAAGAAAAGCCTGATAAACATGTCACATTAAAATGAAGAACTGTTCATCATAAGAAACTACTAAATGGGAAAAGATATTTGCAACATAAACATCCAAGTAAGGATTTATATTCAAATCCAGAATTCTATAAAAAGACATGCATTTAAATAGAAAAATGGGCAATAAGTTTCAGAAGGACTTCATGAAAAATGAAATTCAAATGGCCAAGATATGAAAAGACATCCAACATCATTAGTAGTCAGGGAAATGGAGATTAAAATCACATTCAACTAGTTTGGCTAGAATTAAAATATATAATGCCAAGTATTACTGTTGTCAAGGAATATGGAGCCATTAGAACTGTAACATACTAATAATTGAGGTAAAAGGTAATAAACTATTATTATGGAAAACTGTTTGGCATTACCTAATAAAGACACATGTTCCCTATGTTTCTGCAATTCAAATTCTAAGTATATAGCTTCAAGAAAAATATCCAAACAGCCGGGGTGGATAAGGCAGGAGGATTGCAAATTCAAGGTCAGCTTCAGCAAATCAGTGGGGTCCTAAGCAACTTAGTGATCCCTATCTCAAAATAAAAAATAAAAAGGAATAGGATCTCCATATGTAAGAATACATTCTAATTCTGTGAGTAAACTTTCAATTTTAATCTGTTAGACTACCATTCTTCAAATTCTGAAAAAGTAGACTTTTCAGATATTACATTATTCAACAAGTCATGTAAACTGTAAAATTTTAAGACTGAACTCCTCACTTCTAATTTTGAAATATGAAATAAGTATTCAGTATTGATTGGATGGTTATAGTTTTAGATAATAAGAAATAGATAATATAATCAAGATCTGGCAACTCCACTTTTTGTAAGCATGATTAAATTCCAAAAAACCCATTATATATTAACTCATACTTCTTAAGAAAAAGAATACATTTATGTATGGACTAAATACCAATGTAATGGGCTGGGGTTGTGGCTCAGTGGTAGAATGCTTGTCTATCAAGTATGAGGCACTGGGTTCAATCCTCAGCACCATATAAAAAAACAAATTAAATAAAGGTATTGGGACCACTTACAACTAAAAATATTTTTAAGAAAATATCAATGTCATAAATGCAAATTAAATGATTAAACATTTTTAATTGCTGTATTCATATTGTTAAATTCATACATTGTTACGACAAAGGAACAAATTGTTTGATGTCATAAATTTAATGTGATGAATTTAACTATTACAAATACAATATTTATTGATTTTAGTATCTGTTGAAGAGACACATTTAAACATGGAACATTAAAATACACATCTTTAGGTTCATGTACAAAAGTACATAACTTTTAAGAAAACGATTGAAATTAATATATTGGAAATCTCAAAAATGTATGAACTCTTTTCTTTGTGAGAAGTAAAGGGAACACAGCCAACTCACTGATAAATCACTAAGCTGGCAAGACATCTTTTAAATTCAGATCTTTAAAAAATATATATTTTTAAAAAAGTTATTAATGGGTTGGGGCTGGGGCTATGGCTCAGCAGCAGAGCACTCGTCTAGCATGTATGAGGCCCTGGGTTTGATCCTCAGCACCACATAAAAATAAATAAAAATAAAGGTATCGTGTCCATCACAACTACAAAAAATTTTTTTCTTAAAAAGTTATTAAGCTGCTTTAATGAGAAACACTGTTCTCAACCTATATGTGGTTCTCACCAAGTATTTTAGAGAACATTTTTCATGATTTCATAAAGACATAAAACTAAGCCACTACAGTATACAGTCAAATATAAAAAACTTAATATAAAAATAGTTATTAAAGAACAACCAAAATAAGTCATTTAAGATGCATTACTGGTCAAGTCTTTTAATAACCACTAAACAAAATTATGCACCCTGAAGTAAAGTGAGTTTCTAAACAGATGACAAAGAACTAACCCATTTTAACAGGCAATGAATGAGTCATGAGAAGACTGCTGGCTAAAGCAATCCTCCTGCTTCAGTCTACCAAGTAGCTGGGACTATAGCAAGAACCACAGAGGTCAGCTACTGTTTTTCAGAAAAAAAACTTGCTAAGTTTTAAAAGTATGCGATTCAAGTATTTTTTTTTTTTTTTTAGTAAATTTACTGAGTTGTGCAATTATCACCACAATCCAACTGTAGATCATCTTAAACTACTCTTTTATAGCATAAGGTTCCTTTAAAAAAATTTTTTTTGTTGTTAGTGCTGTTGATGGAACCCAGAAAGCAGGGCCTCAAGCACTCCAGGCAAGTTCTCTACAACAGGGTCACACTCTCAGTCCCAATAGTACACAGTTCTGTAATATAAAGAGATTCTTTACCCAGGTATAAGGTTTGTCTCAAAACTAGCACTATTAAAAGGGACTAATAGAGCATTTAAAAAATGCCATTAAAACTTTTTTGCTACTGTGAAACAACTTTTTTATCAATTAACGAGTTAATAATTTTAGATTCAGAAAATTTCTTCCTACCCTGGACATCTGTCCCTACCATGGTATGCTGTTTATAATAACTCTGAGATGCTGGGAAAATTACCTGGGTTATCTTGCTTCTCCTCCTCCGTGATACAAACTGTTGTGAGATTTCCTTTCCGATTAGAGGCTAAAGTTTATTTTCTTTCTGATTTCCTGACGGAGCAAAGGCCCTATGCACGTGAACGGAAACAAAACCCACAGACTTCGCGATGCTTACTAAATACTCTGGGTAGGGACACCTTCCTCCTCAACAAATCTCCCTTTCCAAGCGCGCATCTACCGGTGTCGGTCAGCGGCCACAGACCACTCAGATCTGAACCTGAACTGTGAGCAAGGGTCCTGGGTCAAGCTTAAACTTTCCTACCTACCATGTTTCCAGAAACAGGCCCTTGGGGTCAACAGCAAACATTTTGATGTGCACTCTAAAGAGACGGTTGCACAACTGGGAAACAGGAGGATTCCGGTTTAACAGGTAACTATCACAGATGAGACAAGTGGGATGTGATCTGCTCGATGGTCAATGGCATTTCGAGATCATACGTGTCGCACATTGAACCCAAAGTTTTGGCACATTACTTTATCGTTCACTTGAGGAAAATTGCAACGAGTTGAAATTAAGAACGTAGAAAAAAAAAATGGGTGCAGGGGAATCCACGAGTCAGCACTAAACTCAAGGTAGGCGGAAAAATTCTTTGAATACTCCGGCTTTGTTTGGCGACGAGACGACAGAACCACCGAATTTCGGAGTTGGAAGACACGTATCTCGGTGTTCTCCGGTCCGTTCTCGGACTTCAGCACCGCCCCGCTCGTCGCGCACTCGGTCCCGTAGTTCCCCGGATTTAAGGCGGGGACCTCCGGGGAGCTCGGGGAGGCCGCGGCCCGGCCCGCGAGGCCGGGCCGGGAGGGAGCGGCCTCCCCGAGGACGACCGAGGGAGGAGGTGGGCGCGAAGAGGCCGCGGGCCGAGAGCGGCGTGCAGCCCCGAGTGAGTGGACGCCCGGCCCGGTCCCCCACCCCGAGGCCGGCCCCGGCATACCTTTGGCGAGGGCTACGGTGGAGTTCTCGGTGTCGATGGTGTAGAGGATGCCCTCGTAGCGGATCTCCGCCTTGGAGATGAGGCTGATCTTGCTGCCGATGTAAGGGGTGCCCCCGCTCATGGCGCCGCCGCCGCCGCCCCTCCGGGCCGCTCGCAGAGAGGCAGATCCCACGCCGCTGTCGCCGCTCCGCACGCCCGCTCGCTCCGTCGGCGCCTACAGCAGCCGCCTCAGATCCAACATGGCCGCGGCGCCGGCTCCGCTACCCTCCCCCAGCCTCCCGCCCTCAAACCGCGGCGCGGCGGCGGCGGCGGCGGCAGCGGAGGCGGCGCGGGGCATGCTGGGCGGGCGAGGCCGAACTCTCGCGAGACTCGGGCGACCGCGGGCCGCTCCCGATTTTTCGGCGGCGTCTGTAAGTCCCAGTTGCGCCGCTTGGCCTGGTCTTAGCGTTTAAGGGGAATTCCGGGCAGAGGTGCAGTGTTTCATGACTCTGGGACACCGTGGCGGGACTGGAGAAGTGCTGGTCTCCTTTTTTGGCCCTGACCTTGGCCTCCGCCATTTCCAGACGCGTCGTACTTTGTCAGGAGCCCAGTGCCTCCGTAAACAGTTCCCTCAACCTGGAAAGTTACCTCCGGCCTCCAAGCTCCGGGAGAGCTGCAGGTCGTCCTTTTAAGCCGGCTTTTCACCCTGCTGAGCCAACCGCGCCCTCTCGGAGCTCTCAGGGAGCTGTTACAACATCTGTCACAATAAACGAGTGCCCCTTACCTCGGCTCGGCATCCCGGGCTGCTCGCAGAGGAGCTGGGACTCCATTCCAAAGATTCGGTTTTTAGCCCTGTTCTGTCCAACACTTGAAATGCCCGGATCCAAGCTCCTAGCTCTTCGTTTTATTGTACACCGACCAATCCCAAGTATTTGCCTGTAACTTTGATCAGTTCTGCGAACTCTTAGTTTCCTATAAAGGATAGTCTCCTTAGCCTTCCAGTTGGAATGTAAGAGTTCTCTCTCTTTTTTTTCTTCCACATTGATTCTTTGTTTTTGAATCACTGAGGATTGAACTCTGGGGCGTTCTACCACTGAACTATGTCTCCAACCTTTTTTCATTTTTTTTTGAAATTAGGTCTCACCAACTTTCCAAGGCTGGAAACTTGTCCGCCTCCTGAGTGGCTGAAATTTACAGGCTTGCGCCACTGTGAACCTGCTTCAATAGGTTTTACTGGATTCACAGGCAGAGGGATCTTGTTCAAATCTAATTTTACTGGATTCACAGGCAGAGGGATCTTGTTCAAATCTAAGTCAGGTCATGTCCCTCCTCTGCTCACTAATCTGATTCCATGTCACACAAAAGGAAAAACAAGACTCCTTATTTTGGCTTCTTGTTATCTCCTTTCCCCATTCAGTTGCATTTCTCACCTCTGTACACAGAACTTTCACACTTAATTCCGATCTGTGCCCCTGTCACCTCCAGAGATGGCTTTCCTTTCTGCCCTGTTTAAAATATTGCTACTTGCTGGAATCGGTGGCTTGGGAGTCTGAGGCCAGAGGATCTCTGCAACTTAAGGAGACCCTGTCTCAAAATAAAAAAAAGGACTGGGGATGTAGTTCAGTGGTAGAGCACCTCTGGATTCAATTCCCAGTACTGCAAATAAAATTTTTTTAAAAAGGGGCTGGGGTAAAGTTCAGTTGGTAGAGGGCTTGCGTTGCATGCACAAGGCCCAGCACCACACACACACACACACAAAAGTAGTATATCACTTTATATCTCCTTGCTCAGCTTGTTTTTTTTTCTGCATAGCATTATCTCTCCCCAATATGTCCACTTAGTTATTTGTGTGTGCCCATCTCCTTTACTAGAGTGTTCATGTTTTGAGTCAGGATGTTTTGGTCACTTCTGTATCATTAGGGCCTAGTACAGCACCTGGCTTAGGGCAGCTGCTCAGTGAATATTTGTGGCATGAATAAACAGGAAGATGAATGCAGAGCACAGGCAGGATGTCTGGTGAGCTGAGTGAACAAATGGTGAGAAGCCTGGTGTTACAGAGTGGGGGAAGCAGCAGAGAAATCTAAGAGGCTGCAATGGGGTTGGTGCACAGTGGCTTCAGAGGCAGGCTATGAATCCCTGGTTTAATATAAAGTCAATATCAGGAAGTTGAATTCTTATACTTGTTTTTTTCTTCTCATTATAGGCCTAGGATACAGTTTATCTTTTCATGCTTCTTTAGGTTATCCTTTTCCACAGTCATCTTCCAAAAACTGACAGTTCCCCAATTTACACCTCCATTTTACATCTCCTGACTTCCAGGGTCACATTAACTACATGGTATGCAGTGTGTGTGTGTAGCTGAGAATCAAACCCAAGGCATGCTAGGCAAGAGCTCTACCACTGAGCTACATCCCCAGCCTTAAATACACAATAAATGCAATCAGTCACAAGACACTTTCAACTCAAAGTATCCAAAATTACTGCATCCACTTCCTTTCTACCCGCAAATAAATTGTTTGTTATCCATGCCCCTTGGCTACATCAAATCCTCACCTAAGTGTCTGCTGTGGTTTATATGGCTTAAGCATGTCCCCCATTGATTCATGTAATGGGAAATCTTGATCCCCAATGTGGCAATATTGAAAGATGGTGGAGTCTTTAAGAGGTGGGCATGTCATTGGAAGGTATTAATTCTGGTTGCATAATTAAGACTAAGTTGTTATAAAAAGAGCAAAACTCCGGTGGGGTTGTTGCTCAATGGTGGAGTACTTGCCTAGCACGTATGAGAACTGGGTTCCATCCTCAGCACTATATAAAAACAAATAAAGGTATGTGTCCATCTACAAATAATAGTAATAATAATAATAATAATAATAATAGCAAGACTGGCCATGCACGGTGATGTACACCTATAATCCCAGTAGCTTGGGAGGCCAAGGCAGAAAGATTATGAGTTCAAAGCCAGTCTCAGCAACTTAGGCCCTAAACAACTTCGTGAGGCCCTAGGCAACTTAGTGAAGCCCTGTCTCTAAATCATAAAAATAAAAGGGCTGGGGATGTAGCTCAGTGGTTAAGTGCCCCTGAATATAATCCCTGGTACAAAAAATAAAAAAGCAAGATTGGCTTCTTCCTGTCTCCACATATGTTTTCTCCTGGTTGAGCATGTTGCCTGCCATGGTGGTATCATGTATAACACAGCCAAGAGGGTCCACCAGAGGGTGAACAGATAAAGAGAGTTGACCTTGAACCTTCAGTCTCCAAAAGTGTGAGCTAAATAAACCTCTTTTCTTTATAAAGTTCCCAGCCTCAGATATTTTGTTAGATCAACAGAAAATGAGTAATACAGTATCTAGTCCTGAAGTCAGGTGTTCTTATTTAGCTATCCCCAGTTGGTCATCAATCTTGTTGATTTTAATTTATGTTCAGTAGATCTGGGTTTCTTGCACCTGAGGGCATCAGGAACCATGCATAAATGCAGTTAATCAGTTTGATAGCCCATAGTGTATTGTACTTATGACTCTATAACTTATTGCTAGAAACCAGGTTGAGAACAGTGACACATTTCACTACCATAGCAGGCTTTCTAAACTCCAGCTCCTTTGTTGCTTCCCTGCTTAAGAGCTCTTGGTACCCCTAGAGTTAAAAATACATCCCTCTCTATTGAATATTTTCAGTAACAGGAAGCTCTCAAATTTGTACAGTGGAGGAGCTAAGAAGTATCAGTCTGGTTGGAAGGAGAGACTATGGGAATTTGAAGATTGTCTTAACTTTTATCTAGCTAGTATGCTGTTTTTCACTTTTTTTCTTGTTGTTGTTGTGAGGCAGGGTGAGTAGCTGATGGAGAATATGGGAGAAACAAGTCCCCCTCACCATCCTTTAATGTGACCACCACTATTCATTTAAGTAACATAAGATGTTTTTGGCCTGCATTTAAGAATCATGTTTTTGGGAAAAATACATCCTTTCAAACAACAGAACCACTCTTATTGGGTGAGATGTTCATTCTATGAGAGACATGCTGAAACTGAGAATAATGAATGATTCAATGGAAGGTGTCCCCCACCCCATGTTTGCTCTTGAGTAGAATGGTTACCGATTTCTACCTCTCACTCTTTTCAGAGTGTGATCATTGAATTTACACTGGTAAAGGCAGAGATGATACAATTTCACAGTTATCTGCTTTTTAATTAAAAGGAGTCCTCTGTATATATGTTTTTATTTCTAACTTTAAAATGAGAAAACTAAGCTGGGCCTGGTGGCACATGACTAGATTCCTAGCTACTCCACAGGCTGAGACAGGAGGATTGCTTGAGCCCATGAGTTCGAGACCAGACTGGGCAAAATGAATGAAGGAATAAATGAATGAATGAATAAATAAATAAAATGAGAAAAACTGATACTTAGGGAAATCAAGTAATTTAGGCCCAGGATCAAGGTGAAAATCATGAATTTCAATCCAGTCTGTATGGTCTTACAATGTCTGTACTCTATACCATTCTAGGATGGCAAATCGAATTATTTACAAGTGACAACTCGAGTACATGGCACTGCTAGCCTGGAGACCTGTATTGAAAAGGATTCTGAGACAAAAGTTGTATCTGAGACAATAGGACTTTATGCCATCATCACTTATCAGCATCGTCCACAGACATAGGGTGGAAAAGTGGTGAAACCAGGTCCAAATCTCTGTCTATACCATTCACCTTCTAAATATATGCCGCAAAAGTACATATGGCTAAATGCTTTGTACATTTAATGGTACTCTACAATTAGTTTTCTTAATTTTTTCTATTATTCAAATATTTTTCCAACTCCTTAAACAACTAACAACTGAAACAAATAAGATTTGTATGTCATTCAAAAGTAAGCACAACAATGGAAACTAATCTATAATGAATTTTTCTGAGAAAAAAAATCTTTCTAAAATGCAAATCTGATGATTACCAGACCTCTTCATTGAGACCATCCCCCCACATCTTTATTTATTTTTAGATGTAGATAGACACAATACCTTTATTTTATTTGTTTATTTTTATGTGGTACCAGGGATTGAACCCAGTACCTCATGCTGTTCCCTCACGTGTTAATCCATTTGGGCTGCTATAACAAAATATCATAAACTAGTTGTTTGTTTGTTTATTTATTTTTGGTGCTG